TAATACTAGGTACCATCCAGTCTGTTCGAAATTAGAGTTACCCAGGAACAACAGAAGGAAGCCTTGCCCATTGTGCTGTCCTCCTAGTCACTGCTGCATTAGAGCCCATTTTTTGAAACCACTGTGTCAGTCTGTCTCACTGTGAAGCCTCCTCTTTTTTGCTGACCCTTTACTAGCTATGGTGTCTTTCTCCTGGGTCTGGCCCCAGCTGATGACATATCTAGAGTATGTGAGACAAATCTTGCTGCCTTTGCTTCTAAGGAGCATTCTTTTTTTTTTTAATGTTAATCCATATATTTTTATTCATACACTTTTGTTGAGATCATTGCCTATACTTCCATTGTTTTCTTTTTATTTTATTTCATTTTATTGTGTGTGTGTGTGTGTGTGTGTGTGTGTGTGTGTACCGTCAAATCAGATCTGACTGGTACAGGAGGAGATGGTCCCTCCTTCCCCAGCAGAGCATCTGGTGGATTTGAACCGTGCGCCTCTGGGATTGCAGTACAGCTTCTTGCCACTAGGCCACCAGATCTCCCCACCATTGTTTTCTTTAACATTATTTTTACAATAAACATATCTGTCATGCCGCCATCAAAAACTTTATAGTAAATGACACAGGTTTGTAATGCAATTTAGACTCTAGCTTCTTAGAATCAGCCACTTTTCTGACTGCTTTCATGAAGTCTTCTTGTACTACAAAATCATGATCAGCATGAATTGCAAACATACCTGCTCCATTGAAGCCATGTGAAAGCATCACAATTGCTTCATAATCTATTTCTCTCTGCTTTGTAATGGGACCTGCGTGGATTTTCAGTATATCTAATCTTGCTTGTTCATTTGGCAAATCAATATGTATTTTTCTCTCTAATCTTTCTGGTTGGGAGCAGATCTGGCATTCACTTCCTAAGCTACATGCCTCTGGAAACTCTATGAACTTTGATAAATGTCAGTAGTTTTAGAGGGGCTTCAGGCCTTTTGTCCATAGGGTCGCTGAGTCGTGCTCGAATTGAAGGCAATCAACAACAAAAACAACAACAATCTTCCTGGATGTAGCAAAGCAGAATCTAGTGTATCTGGTCTATTTATAGCCATGATCATTTTAACTCTATGCAGAGTATCACATCTATCTTTTTGATTCAGGACCTCGATTCTCAGAATCTATTAGCTCAGATACCCTCAGAAAAAATGACCACCACCAATAGCATCTATTTTATCCATAAAAATTATGCACAGCCGATGGTCATTGGTATTTCTCCGATCAAATGAGCACTTTGACCGTGTACTTGTCTACAATAGAACTAGATACAACTTTTTAAAAATTGCAGTCCAGCTGGCTAGCAACAACCCTGGCCAAAAGTGTTTTTCCTATACTTGGTGGTCCATATAATAAACAGTCTTTTGGAGGTAGTATTATTAGACACTGAAATCTGGTTTTGTAAGAGGCAGTTCTATCACCTCTCTTAATTCTCTGATCTCTTCTGATAGCCATCCAACTTTAGAATAAACATTGCCAGGGTCCTCATGAGACAAAGTGTAAACCAGTGGATCCATTTCTCTTGGCAAATATCTCATGATAGTTAGTGTAGTTATATTCAAAGCAACCCTTATTCCTGGCTTCAGCCTACTTTTGTCAAGCTGTTGACAACACTTTAACAGTAAGTTCTTCTTCAGTTAATTGGCTACATACTTCACCTACAATCTGGCCAACACTTTGAAGAGCCTTCAGATCATTTTCAGAGTTTTCATACTGATTGGTAAATTCTTAATTTGCTCCCTTAACTCCTTGATACTGCTATTGATCTCCTTGTGCTCCAGCAGTTTCTTGGGGTAATTTGGAAGCACCTTATCTCTATGGTCCTCCATGATGAGAAGGTGTCACTCATCCTAAGGAGTATTTTTTTTAAATTCAATTTAATGAAAGTTTACAAAGACTTAGGGTTTCCAGTCATTCATTGTTGCACTTCTCTCCCTACCCACCCCCTACCCCCTTCTTCTTTGAAAAGAAAAATAAAAACTCTTTCACTGTTATGCAATCTCTTCCCCCCAAGTCCACTCCTCTATGCAGCCTTCATTCTGGACTTCTGTAATAACAGGAATACCCATTCATATGTACTTTTTTTTTAAAGTTTTTTTTTTTAAATTTTATTT